TCATGCCGCGCAGGCCTGTTAGATAGCAGTAGTGCTCGCATGATCACTAGGGTCCATCAACAGCGAGCGAAAATGCTCCAGTCCCAACATCAGTCATAATGCACAAGGACGCACATCAGCATCACGRCCGGGGTGCATGGCGACGTAGGTACCCAGATCCAAAAAGGGCGCGGACGTGAGTCCAGAATTAATCGTGGCATCTACAAAATCTCCGAGACTTACTGATCATTGATCGAGCATTCAAGGAGCCAGCAGGCCCGCGGGGCTGGCCAGAAAAAGGTGAGCGAGAGAGGGGAAAGAAGAGGGAGAGCGGAGGGAGCAGAGAGAGGGAGGTAAGAGAGGAAGAAAAGGAAAAGTCAAGTGGCCCTAGTAGAAACGAGGACTGTCACTCTTCCCCAAGCAGTCCCGCCCCTTTACCTCCTTCTTGCTTGCCTTGATCTCGCTCCTTCTCCTGCTTGCTCCAGCGTAGCAACTTCAATTCTTCTCCCTTGCCGTTCCGCCAGCGCTTCCACATTCCCGCAAGTGAGGCTCTTTCTCCCTAAGTGGCTCGGCCTCTCTTTTATAGTAAAAAGGCCGGGTGATCGGGCAAGGTGCAGCAGTCCTTGGGCTAAAAATAGTACAGGCCTGTGCGAAAATTAGCACAGGCATGCGCTAAAATTAGCGTGGGACTGGGACAGTCCCGACTTTGGGACACGAATAGTCAGTCCCGAGTTATAAATAGCACGGGCCTACGCTAAATATAGCGCGGGCCTGTGCTAAAATTAGCGTGGGACAGCGCTAAAATTAACACGGGGCTTGGGATAAAAATAGCGCGGGCCTGTGCTATATTTAGCTTGCGCTAAAAATAACTTAGGCCCTGTGCTAAAAATAACTCAGGCCTGCGCTAAAAATAGCGTGCCCTACGCTAAAAATAACACAGACTAGCACTAAAATTAGTGTCGGGCTAAAAGTGGCCTGACTTTGGAATACTAAAGGTCGGCCTTGCCCTCGAAAACAAAACACCCCTCTTATCGCTAATAAGGGCCCCAATCCCGTATTCCCCTTTGACCATTTCGGGCCGTACTCTCCCCGACACGGTGAGTCCGGTCCCAAGTGGTCAATTCTATTTTTCTCACTAACCCTTGGTCCATTTTTAGTACCGTTTGGACCGGGCCCTACTAATCTGGCCCTCGCAGACGCGGCGGTTCAGCCCAAAAGCCATGATTCGATCTCCATGGGGCTGGACCGTCGCGCCGTCTTGTCCGCTGACTCGACCCAAGGGCCAAACCAACATGTCAACATTCTGTTGATCGTGACCATATGCAGTCTTATGGAGTGGAGGCTGGCCGCGATGAGTCAACTATACGTTGACGCGGCGCGCCGCTGTCCGACAACCATACCAAACCCCATTCCTGGCGTCCCCGCCAGGATCCCTCTACTATAAAGGGATAATAACTTACTTACTCTCATCATTCTCACTAGAGTTCGCATCGTTAAGTGTGCTGCGCTATTATGCTCTCGCGACTGCCACTGCTTTTATCGCTCTCAACTTGCTTGCGCTCTTGCCGTGCTATTGCTTATCGTCGCGCAACTAATCAGCCTTTGCCATGGCGCCAAAGACGCGAGGCTCAGGCGCTGGACGTGGGAGAGGAGGCCGACAGGGGAAGGCGCCAGATCGACTAATCGATCTGACTTACGAGGGGGAGAGATCCGAAGAGGAGGAGGAGGAGAGATGGGAAGGAACACGCTTGCGCCATCGCCCAGAGGACCGGCGCGAGTGCACGCCGTCGTCGAGGTCAATGATGTACTATACATATAAATACGAGCAGCGCTACGGCAGTCCGCCTCCACGCTTCGAACCGCCTTCTCGATCTTACCCCTCGCTATACCATCCTTCCTTCTCTGCTCAACCTCATCCTCGCTAACTGACCGTCCTGCCACAGCCGCCTCGCCCTGCGCCACCGTCGTTGCCACGTGTACCAGATCCGCCCGTTGCCCGTCAGGCTTCGCCGCCCAACCATCGCTCGTGCCTCATACTTGCGCTATTCTTCATATGCCAGTTTGAACTGTCCGGCCTTGTATGCTATCTGATATATAGAGGCATCATATAAAACATATCTCAATCATCAAAGTGCTCGCCCGCTAGGGCTCGAGTGCTTGCTCAATCAGGCATGGACCTCTGGTCCAAGCCACCATCAAAATCAAAGAAGGATTAGTCTCATCAAGCTTGCGTGGTGCAGTCACCGCACGCAAATATCATGACCGCTCATGCAGCCCAATCATGCTACCAATCTCGTTTTCTCGCACTACTAAATCAGTCTCAATCTTAGGTCAAACCTCTCATTAGGTTTGACCTCATGCATCGTTACAATCAGACCCAATCTTAGATCAAACCCTATCATGAGGTCTGGCCTAGCAGTCCAAGTCTCAGTCCTGGCCTGCTCATCTCAACCTCATCGGATCAGTCCATCTCATCAGCACAATATAATCCTCATCATCATCTCAGTTACAGTCCAGCCACGGGTGGATATGGGACTAATCATCAAACTCAGGATCATCCGGTTCACCTTGACCAAAGGCCGCCTCATAAGGGGGAAACATACCAAACCCCTTTCTCTTAGTCTGCTGGCTCTGTGCCGCTTACTGTCGGGTCATACCAAACCCCGTTGTCTTCATCTGGCTGGCTGTAGGGTACCTGCAAAACAGAGATCATGTCATGCCAAAAAAAAATACGAGAAAAGGGTCTCCCCTAAAGACCCTTATCAACACCCCTTCCTCACTCACTCTCAGAGTCTTACCTTTCGGCCTTCCAAGAGTGCCCCTGCTGGCCCTGGTGGGCTCCTCCGCTGATCCAACCCGGCAAGCGGAGCAAAGTCAGTCCTGATTTCCAGTCATGGCGGTCCGACCACCCTCTGAGCCCTTTCTCAGAACAGCTCACGGGGAGCCGCACACCCCTTCATGAAGCCCTCACTCCGATGAGTTCAGACCCATGGATCAGAAGCTCATTAGTCGACATCCGAGCATCTGTCTACTCGCTTGACTTCTTGACTAACGTCCGACTCTATGCAACTTTGCGGGGAGCCAGCCAACACCCGACCACACCCGGCTGGTGAGTCAAAGCGAGTCCACAATTAGGCTTTGCAACAGTGGGCTAAGAGGCCATAATGGCCCTGTTGCCAGCTGGGCAGGGGATACCTGGCTTGGCCCGATGCCAAGGGAATGCCCCTGGAGACACGGCTCCCTAGAGACACCCCGATCATAGTGATAGTAGGAGTCTACCACCTTGATCAGCCAATTGTCGGATTTAGACTGGGAGAGGCTCAGAATGCCTCCTTCCTTTCCAGCAGGCGGACCAGGTCACCACGCGGTGACCCGGGAACGGCTAACCACCCGAGGGTTCGAGGCTATCAGCCGCTATGGCTCGGACGCCCCGTCAACCCAGTTAGCCTCTGGACCTGTGAGAACCTGCTTCAGGGAATCATCTCTTGCTCAAGAGGCGCAGTTGAAACTCTCTGCCTCTTCATGAAGGACATAAGTGCTGACACCGCAGGGGACGCCACTGTGGTTAGATTCTCGCCGGAGAACCATTGCGAGAACCCAGCGGCTGCAATGGGAACACTCCTTCCATCAGGAAGAATGCAGCAAGCTCCAAACCGCTGCGATGCTGAGTGATCTTCGCTCCGACCACAAGATCGGACAGATCACTCCATTGACTATGACACATGACTGACTACCCATCCCTTTCAGAGCTCGGCAGTGTCTAACCGCGAAGGCCCATCTGGAGAGAAACCCCATCCGATGATGCTGAGTCCCTTGCCAGTGGAACACTTCACTAGGTTAAGCACCACCCTCTTTCAGGAATAACCAATCAACTTGTGTCAGATAATGCTAGACAATCCTCCTTACGCTATCGTACTAGGAGGTTGCCCCATCAATTGAGCGCTGAAGAAAACATATTTTCACATTATCCCACAGCCATCCATTCCACAATGCCATGCAGACCAATAAAATACAATAAGAGGCAAAAACAGAAATCCCAAGAACTGCCTCCCAATCCCCCAGGCATATCCCAGGACTGACACGTGACAAGCCAGATACAATGCAATGAACTGAAAATTTAAAATTTTTAACTTACATTCATACAAAACTGGGGCTAATCTGGGCCCGACAGACACATGAGTCCACCATTGAGCCGAGCCATCATAGGCTGCTCGTATCCAGCTCCGGCATCCGAAATCATACCATAATCACAGCAAGCCGACTGTCGGCTGCAGCTGGTGGCATACGGGCCATGTCCCAGCGTATAATCATCATCTATAGTTGGCGGCTCACTGGCCACGTCCCAGCACATAATCATCATCAGTAGTTGGCGGCACACTGACCACGTCCCAGCATATCATCATCCATAGTCGGCGGCTCACCGGCCACATCCAAACACATAATCATCATTAGTATCTGGCGGCATCATTGTTCAGGTCCCAGCATATCATCTGAAGCTGGCGGCAACACTGTCCACGTCCCAGCATATCGTCTGTAGCTGGCGGCAACGACTCTCAGGCCTCGCCCCATCAACTTGCACGAACTCGGAATCAAATTTGCATCTCTGAGTATGAATTTTCGGAGCTGGAAGCCGGATACTATACCATGGGATTTCGTTTCATCCATCTCTGCTAACTCATAGGCCTTGCTTTCAATCTCTCTGATGATCCTGAAAGGTCCCATCCACCTGGCCTCCAATCTCTTAGTCCACTGCGTCTCGAGAGATGTATCATGCAGAAGTACAATATCCCCGACCTGAAGTCGTTCCTTCCTGATGTACCTCTTGCTGTTCCATCGTGTCTGGTCAGATAACATGTTGTCTGACATCCTCTTTGTGACCTCGATTATGGCCTCATCCACTTCCTTGATCTGCCTGATCCTCAGTCTCAGTAACTCCTATGTGGAGTATGACTCTCTCTGTGTTTCATGGGTCCAGGTCTCAACCAGGTTCTCAATGGGAGAAGTAGCATACCGGTCGTACCAGAGTGTAACAGGTGCATAACCTGTAGTCCGTTTGACAGTCACATTTTAAGCATAAACAGCCGCTCTCAAGAAGGATGGCCAGCTTCTGGAGTCACCTCGGCACCATTTTGATATAGCATCCCTTAGAGTCATGTGACCTCTTTCCACTGGTGCATTAGCCTGAAAATGATATGGTGTCACAAATCTGACTCTGACTCCAAGTCTAAACATAAGCTTTCTGACCATCTCGTTCTTGAATTCCGATCCCTGATCAGCCACAAACTCACGTATGAAGATGTACCTTAGGTAGATTTCCTCAATCCAATCTGCCACTGTTTTTGCTGTTTTCTTACGGATGGCTTTTGCTTCAACATAACCAGACATATTATCTCTCATATTTAGTATATATTTCATTTCATCCTTACCAGGTGGCATAGTAATTAGATCAAGGTGAACAGTACTACCAGGCTCAACAAGAACAGTGGGGTATAGGGATTCAATCAGTCTCATAGATGATATTTTCTGACAGGCTTCACATGACTTACAATATCTCATAACCATATCCCTCAAACCATCCCAGTGATATAGTCGAGATACTTTATAGTACGTAGCATCAGCACCCCTATGACCCCCTGCTAGACCTTCATGCAGAGCGGCGATCACCTCTAGTTGCCTTTCTCTACCACACACCACTCTCAGCGGCGGTAGTCCTTCCTTAGCATCTACAAAGAGGTGACCCCTTCGTAGCCTAAAGGTCCTCTTTGTCCTCTCATGGTAGAACTCGTCCAACTGATTACTGCTCATTACCATACCAATCCTCTTATATTCTCCATCATATTCTTCCGCTCTAAACCTTCCCTCATCGTCCTTACTCCGTTCTAAATCTTCTGACTCATCCTCTATCTCGTTTAATCGACGCTCAGCCACCCTTGAACTCTCAGCCAGCTCATGAGCTGCAATAGCGGCTTGTTCTACCATCCCATACCACCCTTCTTCCTTATCCTCTTGAATCAAAAGGTAGTGGAGGTAGGGATCTTCCTTTTCACCCCAACAGTCTTCTCTACTGGTGGCCATGACTGATGTCGTATAACAATTGGGAGCAAGAGGTAACCCTTCATCATCGTCCCCCATAAGGAATTCGTCAACGAAGGGTGCCTCCTCAAGAGATTCATCATCTATCGATCCCCATTCCACGCGACCTAGCCCATCAACTCGATTCTTATCAGTAGGTACCTTTTCTGATATAAAATCATACGTCAATATATGAGCTATCCACCTACTGACCGTAGCATCTACTTGCTGATGTCTCTTAACAGCCCCAATTACTGCCGTGGAATCCGTCCTTAAGATGAATCTTCGTCCCATAATATAGTGTCTAAACACCCTGAGACAGTGCAGGATTGCCAGATGCTCCTTCCTGAACTGAATATAGCCTCTCTCAACCGAGTTAAGAGTGCGACTCTCAAATCTAAGTGATCTCTCTTTACCATTCTCGTCTCGCTGCACAAGCACTCCTCCTAATGCTATCGGGCCGTCGTCGGCTTCAATGATGAAGGGCCTCTCCCTTTCATCGTCGAAGTAGGGTACTCCTAGTACGACCCCGCCATCTCTTAACTTATCTTGAAGCGTCCGCGCAACCTTCTTTCTTTGGTCAGACCACCCTAAGCTAGCTCCTTGTCGCACCATCTCTCTAAGGGGCTCGGCTACCCTGACAAACCCGGGAATGAAGATCCGCCAGAAGCTGCAGACCCCTAAGAGGCTCCTCACTTCCCCAACCGTCCTTAGAGGCATAGGCCAATTCAGGATTTTATCAACCTTTTTAGGATCGGGGCTTCTCCCTTTTAGGAAGCACCTGAAACCCAAGATCGTTACCTCTCTTTGGAACAGTAGTGATTTCGGTCCACTAGCTGTTAGATTGTACTTAAACAATCTTTCTAGTACTTTCGCCACTCCCTGAGCATGTTCCCACACAAACCGCCTAACTCGACCATCCACTATGGTCTTATCCTTTTCCTTCGGTCCTTTAACAGGATTGTCATCGATGTATGGGAACGTGACCTCCGGGCATATGTCCTCCATGACTTTCAGCATGTCTCGCTGGACGACCGCGACCCCATTCGTCCACCCTTGAGGCATCACACACATTTGTATGAGGCCCCTAGGTGTGTGCATGGCGGTCATAGGTCGACTAGTAGGATCTATGGGGAACTGGTCATAGCCAGCGTACAAGTCTATTAGGGAGTAGATGCTCCTTCCGGCAAAAGACTCATCCAATAGATCCACGTTGGGTAGGCTACCCGCATCGCGAACTGTTATCGAATTCAACTTTTGCAAGTTTTGTATCCAGCGCATACCTCCTCCTGGCTTCCAGAAACAAAACCAGTGATTGGCATAAGCATCATCCGCTGGTTCTGCAATGTTGGAGGCAATCTTCTGGTTTATGTACTTCATTACCTCCTTTTCTTCCTTTTGAGCATACTTAGTGGGTCTATCATTCCAAGGCGTGTGAGGAACGGTCCAGATCTTAACCATCTTGATCATGTCAACGTCCAGTCGTCCCCTCTCCTCATCATTAAAGGAAAAGGCACCACTGTACTTCTGACATAATTCACATATGAAATCCCTCTCAGCCGACAGAAGGAAGTCATCGGTTCCTACCTTCATTATCTTGAACCTCTCTGGGTAATCCTTCCCCCTTTTAATGCAGCCTTTCTTAACCATTTAATTATCTTCCTTTTCTTCTCTAATGCTTCACTATAGTCCTTTTCTATCAAGACTGCCACCGGATTCTTCTTAACGCCCTTGCGCTTGTACTTCCTCTTGGACCCGGTGACTATTTTCCTAAAAAAACCTAGTTGCAGAGAAGGTAAGCTGCATCGTGCCAGCTTTTGCCGCCCTCACAGCTTCCTTGAATCCTTCCATCTCTCTCTTATCGCCCAGCTCCTTCTCTTTATCTAGGAGCTTGAGCATCTTACCGATATAATTTACTCTAATCGTTGTCTTTTCGTCTATCATTCCACTCTCTTTTAGCTTTGCTCGTACTTCCTCAATCAACTTGTCAGATTCTCCATGCTTAAGAGAATTAACATGTCGCTGATAACGAGGATGATGTCTGTCACTTATCACAAAAGCCTGTTCTTTACCATTGTTAGGATCCTGGAGCGAAAGCCAAGCCGCTCCATCATGACCAAAGAAAGCACAAGCCTCCATTCTATGCAGGAAAGAGGCTCCGTGAATGCAATCATGATCCAAGTTGGGGACCACAAAACAGAGGATCTCGACCCGTAAAGTTCCAATTTGAATAGGCAAATCATCAATAAAACCTTCCAAAGCTGATGATTGACCTTCCTGTCTATTCCAAGCCTACATGATCTCATCGTGGCCGAGGACATAAGCACCACCTCGGCCCCAGAGTCCACTAGGGCTCTAACCTTCACGTCAAGTAGCCACACGACATGTTGTCAAACCTCATCTTGGTACCAGGCGGGGCTCTTTCCACATGCTCGGGGAAGAGTCTTAGGCTATTGATTTCTACCTTCCGCCTTTCAACCATCTTTTTAAGTTCTTCTCTAAACTTTGGCACCAAAGCTACCGCCTCTTTCCAGGATAGATCTCGGTCTCCTCAAGTAGTTTCTTCACTACTTCATCTATCGAGACACCCTCCTCGGCCTCAGATCTCAGGACCACCTTCCTCTTTTTCCCGACAGCTTCCTTTCCTTTCCCTTCCTTCACTAAGTCCTTGGTCCCATCAATCAACTGGTCTAGCTCTCTTTGGGCCTTCTCCCGCTTTTTCTCCTCAACCTCTCTATGGCTGATATGAGATACGTTCAGGCTTTGACTTCCAGGATTGTCGTCTCGAGCCACTATCTCCGGAGGTAGCATGYCGTCAAAGGTGACAACATTGATCCTAACCTTCTTCTTTTTATCCTTATTGGCCTTAGCCTTTTCTAGGATAATTGCTCGCATTCCTCCTTTGACTCGGAGGTCCACCTTATTCGAATTGGCATCACAGATGTGCCCATTGACATTCTTCTTGACAATCCCTTCTTCGAACTTTTTTTCTAAAGTCGGACACCGGGTTAGAGTATGACCTTCCTCGTCACAATAATAACATCGGAAAGGGTCATCTCTCCTTTGCCAATCTCGGCTCTTATTACCTTTCTTCCAATCTCGATCACGCTTCTTTCTCATTTCTTCCTTCTTTCCTTTCTCCTTTGCCTGGCATCATCGTCGTCACTACTTTCACTCTCACTTTCACTTTCTTCCTTTTGCCTTTCCTTCTTTCTTTCTTCCTTACCTTCTTCGGCTCCAACAAGTGCTTGAGTTGCTGGGGCAGGAAGGGTTAACTTCTCGAAGCTACCAAGCTTAACGAGAAGACCACGAATCTCCTCTGCCTTCAAGTTCCCCCCCGTAGCTGCCTCAACATTTCCCTCTCTCGCACTAGTGATTGCTTTCATCTGTTCCAAGGACCATTTTCGATTGGACACGGAAGGTAGCTCACGGACCATCTCAACTACTTCATCCCACTTCAGAGGATAATGGGCAGCGCGACTTACCACACTCTTCCTTTCGTCCTCTGCGAAGTTAGTCAGTAGGACATGGCATTTTTGGGCCTCGTCTAGTGAGGGTACTCTCCTCGCAACCCTCTCAAAATCCTCTAGGAATTGATCGAGGGTAGCGTACTTGGAGCGTCGTACTTCCAACAAATTTTGCCTTATCGTTGGGACGTCATACTTCGCATACTCTTCCAGCATCTTTTGTCTAACCTCGACCCATGTTGTCAACCCTTGTATCGTCTTCGTTACCGACACTCTCATCTTAGGTTCAACATAGGCTAGCAGAGCTTTCAACTTCTGCTTGTCCGACCAACCGTGGCTCATGCCGAAGACATCGTAGTCCTCCAGGAACTCCCTAACCTTGGTTCCATCAAAGCAGGGTATGTTCTCTGGAGGTACTTTAGCTCTTGGAAGGTCTAGACGGACATTCATAGTGTCCATCCCGGTCTTCATGGCCTCTATTCGGTTCAACATCTCTCGAAGAACCACGGTTGTGGTTACTTCTCCATCTCCAGCAGAGGAACTAGCACGGCTCTGCCGTGCGTTCGGTCCTTTGACCATCCTGTCTAGATTACTGGTTACGCTCCTACTTCTTCCTGAACTTTTTCTCTCTTATGATTGCGTTTAAAATTGGTTCTCTGTTCCTGCCGTCAGTAGAACTCTCTTGCAGATGAGGCTCAGGAAACCTATCAAACACAATCGGTGTTAGGTCACTAACTACTCTTATCCCTTTTCTTTCTAATTCCCTCTTCTTTTGGTTAACTATATTACTAATCCAACTTCGAAGAAACTCACGATTTGTCCCTTTCTCTCTCAATGAGGGAACATAGGGCCAGATATCGTATTCACTAGTATCAAGGAACCTCACAACAAGGACATACGCCTTCCCGGGTGCATGCTTCTCCTCTAGGGATATGCAGCGCTCTATATCAAACACAATCGGTGTTAAGTCACTAACTACTCTTATCCCTTTTCTTTCTAATTCCCTCTTCTTTTGGTTAACTATATTATTAATCCAACTTCGAAGAAACTCACGATTTGTCCCTTTCTCTCTCAATGAGGGAACATAGGGCTGGATATCGTATTCACCAGTATCAAGGAACCTCACAACAAGGACATACGCCTTCCCGGGTGCATGCTTCTCCTCCAGGGATATGCAGCGCTCTATCTTGTAGGGAAAAGTTCCCCCACTGGTAAAAGAAACTAAGGCGTCTAGTGCTGCCGTGACTGCCGGACAGTAACCAAACATTGTCTAGTCCCTAGCGTCCCCCATGATCTTATCTTCGTTCCTTCTAATCCTATCCAGCGCCTGAATCGTCAATGTTTACCTCTCCACTTCCTATCTCTCAAAACAGCATTGAGGATAGGCTCCCAGTCCTCACCGTTGACGAAACTATTCGGTATAGGAGGACTTGGGAAATTCTCATACTCAGTTGGCTCCACACTCCAGGTAACTTTCTTACCTTCCTTCTTGAGTTCATTTTTGTATTTGCATACGTGGTTGAGTGCCCACTCGTGACACCCAGTATACCGCCGCCAGATCTTCCTAGTCACTGGAGTGTATATCCGCACGTCGTACTCATCGGTCTCTAGGAAGCGGGTTACTAACATACACTTCCTCCTCTGCTTCAGGTAAGCTAAAACAATGTATCTCTCAATCTCATAAGGAAACTCCCCTCCTACCGTGAAGGGCTTTACATCTCGGAGTAGGTGTGAGATAACCGAAGAATTAACGTCTGGTATTTCCTTTCCTTCAGCCTTCTCCCAAGTATGCTTGCTTCCTAGGAAACTAACATGCCCCTTAGCCATAACACGTTCTCTTCCATTGTCAGGCGAGGAGAATTCAGAAGATGCTCTGTCTCGAACTTCGAACTGAGGCTCGAGTTAAGAGACAGAGACTCTAGTTCTATGACTAGATCATCCTCCTTTGCCTTGCCATCTGCACTAATAGCTCACAGAAGAGGTGTCCAGTCTCTCCAGCCAGTGAAGCTATCTGTAGTCAGAAAAGGAAGAGGTTGTCAACTTCGGTCACTCTATTTAATTGTCCTCTACTAATGATCACAGTCACAATTGACATAGATTTTTCACATTCCAATATCATTGCCTTGGGCCGCTTCTAGCGCCTCTGGCCAGACTATCTGCAGGACGTTGTCTAGATAGGATGGTCTCGTCTCTCGCATGTAGCATCACTCTCCTGCCATCCGAACTCTTGCAATCCAACAGATGCCTAATCTTAGTCTGACTCGTAATTGCTCTAAAAGCAGCCGCTCGCATAAGCTCAAGGTAGTGCTCCACCATGCCAATCTCGTCGTGGCTACCTAGCCTAGTATCGCATCCTCTCACAACCCCGATGACAGTCGCTTGCTGTTCGTCTAGATAGAGCTCAAAACAGAAGCTCTCTCCATCATCAGGAATGTAGACATCGATCGGCATAGCTCACCACACTCGATCCCTTAACACCGCGTTGAGGATTGGTCCCCAGTCCTTCCCGTCGCACAAACTAGCAGGCACAGGAGGGCTTGGGAACCTCTCAAACTCTTTAGGTATGACAGTCCACGTCACTTTCTTTCCTTGTTGTTTCAATAACAACCTTTCATCTAGGATATACTCAGCAGCAACTACCCAACACGCCTCATAGTCAATCTCTCTTCTTGTTCCAGCAGATACATACGACCTTACATCATACTCATTTGTATCAAGGAATCGGACTACAAGGACGTACAAGATCACCAAGTTGTGCTCACAAGTCACACACCTCTCAATGATGTATGGAAAAGCACCGCCTGCAGTGATCTTGGTCAGTGCCTCTATCGCTCTAGTTACTGCCGACATGGGATGCCTACCAGCTCTGCCTTCTCAACGCTGCATTGATGATTGGTTGCCAGTTCCTACCATCACAGAATCCTTTGGGTACCGGCGGGGTAGGAATCTTCTCGTAGACTTTGGGCAATAAGCTCCAACTCGCCTCTATCCCTTGCTGTCTCAGTTGATCCCTCTCTACTTCGACACATCTCACAATAACATCCCAGTTGGTAAAGAAACTCGGATCCTGATCTGCCCCTTCTAGGATGTAGGGTCGAATATCATAATCATCAGTGTCAAGGAATCTGGAGACAAGCACATGCACAGTCGTTGTACTTTTCACACAAGTAATGCATTTGACAAACATAGAAGGGAAGGCACCACCGCAGGTGACACGAGCTAGGGCTTCTAGGACATTATACTCTTCAGTCATCGTCTGGTTTCTGACTTATAGACTGGTCAAGCGAAGGATCCAGAAAACAAATTCCAGACCCTTGCTTGCAGGACGGAGTCACTTCAGATAGACTTCTGCAAGAGGTCCCTCCTCTCGGGGCTCCTCTAGCCGAATAGTCTTTCTGACCGAAGCCAGACCTTATACGAAATATAAGACTGTTGCCTAGTCACTGAATATTGTGACCAAGGTCCGCTCCCAGGAACTCAAAATTTTTGAGTCCCCGGCAACGGCGCCATTTTTGTCGCGCCCCCACCGTTCCAAGGCCTGGTGTGATGTCTCTCCCCGGGCCGAGTGCGGTGGGTTGGTGGACTGGCAGGCTGTCACGCAGGATTTTGGAGAGTTTTAGAAAAATTGGAAGTGAAATCACAAGCAGCCTTTGTCACACAGTCGAGTAGTCAGTGTTATCCCTCATGCCAGCAGCGACACGGCTTAGAGTGAGGCGTTCGGTTTTATCGCCTGCACCTGACCCCGTATAAAGGTTAGAATCAAGGTCACCGGAGTCCCTATTATCCAGGAGTCCTTCAAGTAGCCTTGAGTGTAACCTTATGTGGAGTGATAAATAACTTGTTATCACATGCATAAACATTCCATGCATTACATGACATGCATCATAAATCAAATGACACAGAGGGGATGATAAGACCAGAAACCAGACTCTGCAAGAGCATGACTAGAGACACGAGACTGAAAAGTAGTACACAAAGAATGAAGGAAGCGGCCATAAAGGAGGGGCTGCAATCACTGATAAATCATAATAATGTCATAGTACATCTCAGTGACTAAAAGATACGAGCCTCAATCAATTACGACAAGTGGTACCCCCTCATGAGTGGGCTCGACTGCCTGGGACTCCGTATCTGGTACACGCTGGTCCTCCTCATCATTGAGAACCTGAGTGGCCATCGACTCTGGGACCACGTAGCTGATGTCAAAGGATGCAGTAGGATCGATCTTGTTGATATATGCCATACATCTGACCATCTCCTCGTCCGCAACGCTCCGAAGGTACAACTCCTCAGCGAGGGAAATGCTGTCACTGACACCGATCAAGATCTCGATCCGGCCCTTGCCGTAGACGTAGTCATATGAAACCTCCAGAAAACGGTCTCCATAGAGAGGCTTTCGAAAAGTCTGTATGACGAAATCCTCTCCCACCAAATGGTTGTAGCCATCCCCAAGATATGGGACTGGTCCCTTCCCCCTTGAAGGGCCGACTACCTCCTCTGACCTGGGTCCTCCTGACATGTAATGTCCGAATCAATCACCCTCAAGCAAATCTTGTGCCAAGAGATAAGCAACCCGTCCTAGGGCTGCCTTCCGCCTGCGTCTCGCTCCGGCAACCGATGTCATAAAATGCTCTGGGCCTGCTCCAAACTCAGGCGTACTCAGTCCCTGTGAGTATCCCAGTCAAAATAGTCCCCCAGATCAATATCGCTCACGCAGCAAGGCTCTTGGTCTGACTCATCCGTCTCTGACCTCTGTAGACAGGTGGTAATAGGAATCCCAGATCTGGCCACCTCGCTCCTGATCCTCCTGTCTTGACGCCTCTTTTCCTTGCTTCCACCTCTGCTCAGCGGTTAGGGTTACAACCGTCAAAGTCATAGAGGGCACCACCTGGTGCAAAAGGGATTTGGGGAAACACCACATGTAACCGGTGTTCCCTCCAGCAACTCTTCCTGCGGAAGATATAGTCAACAATCTGGTCGTAGGTGGCTCCCTTCACTCCCTGCCCAGCATCTCTCACGTGATAAGTGATCACCAATGTGTACCTCGATGTGGGAGACTCGTTGGCCTGAATGACGAAGCTCTGATGCCCAATGTGTCGATAGCAGAACTTCTCAACCAGCTTACCCCATGTAGGGGTTGTCTCACGTTGAGAAGCCAGCTTCACCAATCTGCAAAATAATATAGAATGCCCCTGGCAAGCTGCTATGCCAAGCAATAATGTCCTRGAGATGAGGGGGATATCAATAGCCYAGGAAAATAACCCAACTCGATAGGGTCAAAGAGGACAGCACCTCAATAGACCCTCAAGCCAAACTGGTGGCAACCAACTCAATATAGGGCCCCGCCTGAATGGGCCCGGCTGAACAACAATAACTCGATATAGGGGCCCGCCTGAATGGGCCCGSCTGAAACAGCAGCAACTCGATATAAGGGCCCGCCTGAATGGGCCCGGCTGAAAACAGCAATAACTCGATATAGGGGCCCGCCTGAATGGGCCCGGCCGATCAGCAACAACTCGATATAAGGGCCCGCCTGAATGGGCCCGGCCGATCAGCAACAACTCGATATAGGGGTCCGCTTGAATGGGCCCGACTGATCAGCAACAACTCGATATAGGAACATCATACGAACATCTCCGCAGCGAGTGGACTAGAGCATGAGGACTGAACTGCAAGTATCATCACTGAGAGAGACTGATCATCAAGATATTATCTATGCAAAGGCCATTCGCAAAGTACTGCGCTTGCAAACCGAACTGCAGTGATATCATGCGTGCAGGAAAAATACCGTCTGCACAGGGTCTGAATATCGTCTATGCAGAGACTGATCAACAAGAAATCAAATCAGCGGGGTTTTGGGGCTAAGCATGCCATCAGAGGCATCTAGTCACGTCCTCAAGACTAATCACACTCGTTGGACATGCATCCCCGACCATCATATCGGCGGGACACGCGTCCTAGAATCATCAGAGAACACACTCGCATAGCCTACTCGATCCCGAGCGCACTCATGGAGCAATACCAAGCGTGGGCGCGCATAGGCGCGCACTCAAATGGCTATATCTAACTCGGGCGCTCATGGGCGCGCGCTCTCACTRCAATACCGAGCCTGGGCGCGCATGGGCGCGCGCTCAAATAGCAATACAGATCATGGGCGCACGTGAGCGCATACTCAAATGACAATATCTAGCTTGGGTGCGCATGGGCGCGCACTCATATAGCAATACCGAGTTGGGGTGCGCATGGGCGCACACGGGCGCACACTCGTACAACAATGCCTAGCTTGGGCGCGCATGGGCGCGCACTCTAACAGCAATGCCAAGCTTGGGCGCGCAGGGGCGCGCACTCTAACAGCAACGTCAAGCTTGGGCGCGC